TAAACAGCAAGAAAAACAGCTCCTTTCAGCTTCAGCACAGGCTAATTAGCACAAGTTGATTGGATCGGCCTCCCGACTCTCAGCTGATTTGCTTTCAGCTGTTTTGTGCAGGGCTCTGCTGCTTGATGCAAAGAGGTAAATTGCTGGAGCAGATTTTTTTTTCCTTTGCTAATCAAGCTATGCTGAAAACGAAACTGAAAGTAAAGCAGGCTGTTTGCTGTTCGTTGCAAGGAGGCAAAATTGCTCAGAGGCAGAAGGAGATTTCTTTTTCTTCTTTTCCTCACTCAAAAGGTAGGTGCGTCTTATACTCCGGTGCGTTTTATACTCCGAAAAATACGGTAATTAAAAATCAAATAATTTTCCTCTTTTTCACCCTAGTTCTGCTGACTAATTATTCTGGTAAGTGGACACAGTGGTTTTGCACATCTCTTGAAATATGTTGGGTTCTCAACATATTTCATTTGACAAACTAAAGAAAAAAATAAGTGCTTTCTTTGATGTGCATTTAGTATAAATGGTCGCATTTAGTCGACCATTTGTTCAGCAACTGTTCAAAATTATGATGGCATTGAAGAAATGATGTTTATAATTGGTCCTCAAAGTTCTGACTGTCCCAGCACCCCTGCAGTCATGTAATTGCAATCTGAACACTTGGCAAACAACTCACACTTACAGCTGGTTGCACATGATTGCTACTTGTAGCCTTCCCTGCTGGTTTCCTCAGAAAGACAATGGGGAATTCGACAGGGAAGATCACATCATTGCATGTTTCTCCCACCCACCCACCCACCACTCTCCCCAACCCCCTCTGCAGTTGTGCTGTGCCAACCATGCACATCCTCCTTGAGCTTCACCATACCTATCTCAAACTATCCCTGAGCCTGACTGTGCCTCTTTTTCACCCCTTGCATGCCCCTATACACTCACCCCAACCTTTGCCACATCCTTCCTGGCCCTTTCTCTGCTTCCTTTACACCCTTGTCTTATCTCTTCATCCATGAATGGCATGTAAGGTAGTTAATAATATTAAACCTAATTTTATGTATGTATACCTGTATCAAATAGGGACGTGGTGGCTCAGTGGCTAAGACGCTGAGCTTGTTGATCGAAAGGTCGGCAGTTCAGCGGTTCAAATCCCCAGTGCCGCATAACGGGGTGAGCTCCCTTTACTTGTCCCAGCTTCTGCCAACCTAGCAGTTCGAAAGCACATAAAAAATGCAAGTAGAAAAAATAGGGACCACCTTTGGTGGGAAGGTAACAGCGTTCTGTGTGCCTTTGGTGTTTAGTCATGCCGGCCACATGACCACGGAGACTTCTTTGGACAGCGCTGGCTCTTCGGCTTTGAAACGGAGATGAACACTGCCCCCTAGAGTTGAGAACAACTAGCACATATGTGCGAGGAGAACCTTTACCGTTTACGTTTTTATACCTGTATCAAAACAAAAAAGTTAAAACTTCATTAATTGCACTCATTGATTGTATTCTCCAATAAAAATAGCATGTCACTCAGTGTTCGGTACAAAAGATTGGGTCTACATGTGAAAGTCCAATTAAACTGGTTTATTGCTATTCACCCTACGCACAGGAACATTCTCAATTAATGATTAGTACCTGTTTGGAGTTCAGTAAGGGTCAACAGAATTCAAGGGAGGTTTCACTTAGTTGCTTGTGGCTACACAATACAATTATTTCATATTTCTTTGTAGTATTTTATTAATCAAAATTGGGAAGCATCAAGTTGGGAAGCTAGTGTGGACTATGTTCAACTTCAGACTTTGATACTCTTCGTTAAGCCAATCAGCTTATGAGGACTGGAGGCACTGAGTGTATTTCATCTGCAATTAATATATATCTCATCTTAAGATACTTGTTTGCAACTTCTGACAGCTGCTGATCCACTTTGAGCTATCTATGATATATCAACAGCCATATTGCAAAGTGTAACTTCATTTGGCATATTTTCAGCAGAGGGATAGAAAGTTTTCAAGAAGTGTATTTGTTCCTTAAAGTGCTCTCCAAATGCTCATGAAAGAGAGGGGCAACCTTAAAAGAGCCCTGGTGGCGCAGCAGACTAAAGTACTGTTATTAATATCAGCTGCCTGCAATTACTGCAAGTTCAAATCTCACCAGGCTCAAGGTTGACTCAGCCTTCCATCCTTTCTAAGGTAGGTAAAATGAGGACCCGGATTGTGGGGGCAATAAGCTGACTTTGTATAAATATACAAAAGTATGAAGGCTATTGCTTAACACATTGTAAGCCGCCCTGAGTCTCCGGAGAAGGGCGGTATATAAATCAAATTAAGAAAAAAAAGGATCCTTTCCTTAAGATCCCATCCGTCTATCCAGAGGTGTTTGACAACAATCAACCAGTATCCAACCTTCCCTTTTTCAAAAAATTAATTCCAGCATGATGGGATTAATTTGATGTAGGAGAAGAAGACCTGATCTTTTGTACCTGACATTTAGGGACATGCTAAATATTCTTATTTGAGAAGTTATAAGGATCCTAGGTTATAGTTGGCTTCTGTGGAAATGTCTTCATGATGAAGAATGGTTTAAAGATTTGAGTATGGCTAGCCTAGTGGAAAGAAGGACTAGGGGTGACATAATAGCACTATTCCAGTATTTGAAGGGTTGCCACAAAGAAGAGGGAGTCAACTTATTTTCCAAAGCACAAGAAACAATGGATGGAAACTAATCAAGGAGAGAAGCAATTTGGAATTAAGGAGAAACTTCCTAATAGCGAGAACAATTAACCGATGGAACAGCTTGCCTTCAGAAGTTGTGGGTGTTTCATCACTGGAGGTCTTTAAGAAGAGACTGGACTGCCACTTGTCTGAAATTGTTTAGCGTCTCCTGCTTGAGCAATGGGTTGGACTAGTAGACCTCCAAGATCCTTTCCAGCTCTATTCTGACGAGGGTGAAATGTCTTCAAGGAAAAACAAAGACCAGTTGCCTTTTGAAAAAGCACCTTTGAAATATCCTGTGAAAATCTACAGTTTTAGGGAATTTTGGATCCTATGTGAAAACGTATTCTGGAAAACTTACAAATTTTCTTATGGGAATGATAACAAAAGCAATTAGCCTTACATACTGCCCCATAGCACTTCATAGCACTCTCTGAGTGGTTTCCAATGTAAACATTATTTGCATATTACCCCCAACAATCTGGGTCCTCATTTTACCGACCTCAGAAGGATGGAAGGCTGAGTCAACTTTGAGCCCTGTCAGGATCAAACTCCAGACTGTGGGCAGAGTTGGTAGCTGTGGGTAGGTGGGAGGGAGGGACGGAATCTAGAGTTTTCCTGAGTTTTATTTACAAATGTTGCTTAAGACCTTTCTTGTTACATTATGCCAAATCCATACAGAAATGTGAACACAAACATTGTACAACTTATTATATCCAGTTCCTCATGTTCCACAAAGATCAGGAAACATCAGATTATCAAAAAAGGGGGGGAAATACTTGTGAAATGTACCTGCAACTTCTCAATATCTCCTAGTGGGATTGGTGATGTAAAGAGGTATATCAAGCTTGAAACGAGCACTAGTCAAAAGAGTTTAAATCATCCTGAGCACTAATAACCTTTCCGCCAACAACCCAGTGATAGACCGAGTACTGAATGCAGAAGTACAGCTTTGTATTCCAGCATAATTTGCTGTGTGGTGAATGACAGTTTTGAGTAAATTGGTAGGCAGTTACTTGTCACTCACTAATGGACTTTTTTCTTTGGTTTGTCTTAGTGAAAAAATTGCTTCACAGTGCCAAATATCATTTCAGATCCAGTTACAATAGTGTTTTGCTATTGTGTGTGTCTGTTTTGAGAGTGAGGGTGTTATTTCTAAAAATAAAACTATGCCTAAAAATAAAAGTAAAAGATTTTCTTACTTTCAGGATATTTTTTTAAACTTCAGCTGCATGTCTGTAGAATTAGACAAGTAGTGCCTTGTGAATAATGCATAAATGCATAGTGAGATAGCAGCGTCCATTTCTACCTCTTCTATACCTATCATCTTCAGTGGTGTGTAAATGGTACATGAGCAAAATGTTGTACAGGCAGGCATTTGCCATATATATTGAGAATCTCAAGATTGACTTGGTGTTTTCCCCAGCAATGTGTCTCTGTCCAGCTCCTATCTTTAAGAGTATTAGACATTGCTGGGGCTATGCGAGGTCCATGTACATTTTAGGACTACTTTAGTTCCCACATACTTACAGGGTTTTATAAAGGATAAGATAATTGGGGACAATTGAAGTAAGAGGGGGAAAGTCACCCACTTTTATAGGGAGCAATTTAACCTTCAACCACAAAATTGTAAACATTATACCTCTATACTGTAAATTGTAATTAGATATATTTGAATAATGTTCAATCTCTTCATGATAATTTAATCAATAGATTATAAAGACTTTTCTCAAAGCTTGTCAGCTTTGAAGTGATTTGAAAGATAGATTGGAAGGAATTGTTGAAGGAGGGAAAATGCCCAAAGAAGGAGCTGTTGAAAATATAGCTTTGCAGGGATGTGCATGTGCGCACACTCAGATCGTTTGAACAGGCTTTCATTGAAAGTCAGGACAAACCAGACAGTTGTCTGGTCAGCTACAAGAACAAAATTTTCTGCAAACCAAAACACATATTTTTTCCCCATTATCAATCAAAATCCTTGATTGATTTGGTATAGTAGTTTGATATCTGGACTTATTGGCAATCTGTCTGTGACCTTTTATTTTGAGGATGGAAATGTGACTATCTACTGTGCCTTATAATTTGTTTTCTGATTTCTAATGAAATAACTTTTATTAACTACTATTAATATATAACTGAGAGATCTTGAGAGCATCCATTTTTGCACCGATGATCTAGATTAACTGAAACTGTTTCTAAGATTCAGCTGTGCTATGCATCAGCATTAAGTAGCATGCTTTTCTATGTATGGAACAGAAATGTGGGATAATTATCTCAATGTGTTGATCCTTGTCCCGTTTTTTATTATTCCAGCTGTTGGAACAAGAATCTGAACATGAATTATTGGCTGATCATCAGGCTACCTATTATGGTTGCTATTGGGGTAAGTGTTTGGAAATCCTTGCAGTAGAAACATGGATTATGGGTAGTGAGTGGAAAGGGATAATAAAAATGCTGGCAGTGTAGCTGTCCTTTCACTAGTAAAATAATTTTGTAGGAGTTCCATTAATTGTTTTCTGTCCCCTAACTTTCAATGCATAAATGATGCATGACAGTTTTTTAACCAGTCTATCTGTAAAAACGAATTTGGAAATTGCCTTTTTCTGTGTTCCAATTAATAAATAATTGAATGTCCATCTACTTCACAGTCTACTTGTGACTAAAATCCTCTTTCTTAAAAAGCCAGTCTTTTCTTGGTATGCATACTGGACTCTGTGCTAAACAGAAAAGCTGTTGGCAAGAATCCTTAATAGCCTATGTTAATTTTATAATAATAATAAGCTATAGATAAAATGCGTAAGAATTAAACCATTATAATAATTAAGGCATCAATTAAAATATCAATTTATACTTGGCATGTGTCTCTAAAATTTCATATGAAATGTGTCAACTAGAATATATAATGATGTATTCCTTCGTGATATTTCATAAGATGAGCATAATTTTGGAGTGAGTTATCTGGCAACATAATCTTAAAATGAATATTATTATAGAGATAACAGAGATATGCTGCTCAGTTCTACAATCTGCTTCATAATTCCTTTTTGTTTTATTCAGGTGAACTTTCTGATCTTTATCAGGGTTATTTGCATTATAATTTCTAAGCTGCAAGCCAATCTGTTGCGCAAAAATGACATAAAATGCAGGTAAGATCATTTGTAGGCAAAAATACTATCAAGATTCCGCCCCCCCCGCCCCCAAGCAAAATGCTTATGGTAATTGATCATAATGAAAAATGCTTATGACAACTGAGAAAGGTGCAGATTACATCTAATAAGAGGAAACACAATTGTGGTGCCATTTATCAGTAACAATTTTAAAAAGATGAATTTTGAATAGTGGCAGAGAGTATAGTACATGTGTCAAATTTCTTTTTTTTTCTAAGGAGAGGGAATTCAACTCTGTTTTAGGAGTGTTTTGAAGTATATGCAGCTTCTTAAAGAGTCTCCCTAATAAATCACTTACTTTGAAGATTTACCTGTCACTCCCATGTCAAGCTGTGGGATTCTTTTTTTATGTGGGTTTCAAGTTATTTATTGTGGAAAAGTTCTGATTTAACAGGCATTTTAAAGTAATAGTTTTGGTATTGTATGGAGTAGAAATGTACCAATATGTTTGTATCAATATTTATATTTGATATTAATATTTAATGTTGCTTGGCATAGTGGCATACTGTATATAAATATATGTCCAATAAGTACCATTTCAGCAAATATGATACATCCACAAATACCCATCTCCAGTATGTACCAGTGATGGGTTGCTACCGGTTCGCCCCGGATCAGGCGAACTGGTGGCGGCGGGAGGATCCGCCCAGACGTTTCTGCATATACGCAGAAGCGTCACACGTACCCACAAGTGTGTGTGCACCCATGAGCAAACCGGTAGCGAGGGGATTTGAAACCCACTACTGCTGTGTACATACTGGGATTCCTCTTTTTGAGAGAAGAGGAGAGAGATAGTTCAGTAATGCATATCATTAGGGACTATCACTGAATATCTGCTGCAAATGTTGATGCATAATGTAACAAGACTTCCCTCTGAAGCTTGGAAGAACCCATTAGCTATAAATAATTTTGTGCTAGCTTTATTGTTTCTTGAGCTAACTCAACATGTTGCCTTTCAGTTTTGAAGCCCTGCAAACTAGACCTCTGCATTTCCCAGCAGAAGTTGAGACCCTAGAGATGAAAGAACAATTTGTTTTGTGGGATAGTTTTCCAAAAAGAGTGGTTAGATTTGTTTTATTCCAGTGGATTTTTTTTTCTTTTATATGAATCTTTTACTTCTGTTTGTTGACTGATCTTCCCAGATTGGCCAAATCTACACTGATTCTGATCCCACTTCTGGGTACACATGAGATCATCTTTGCTTTTGTTACTGATGAGCATGCCAAGGGGATGCTGCGGTTTGTGAAGCTTTTTTTTGAACTCTCCTCCTCTTCTTTTCAGGTAGGGTCTACATTCCTTATTCAGTTTGAAATTTTATAATCAGGATTTCAGGATTTTTCATTTTTGAAAGTCTATTTCCAGTGGTGTCAGTTCCAGTCTACACTAGGATTGTTGTGCTCCAGAAACTGAGAGGATGAATGTCATCACTGGTTAGAATTTGATATACCATAGAATATATCTAGATTACTCCCAAAGGTGCTTTTTTTCAAGAGGTAACTAGACTGTCTTGATTTCTTTGAAGACATTTCGCTTCTCATCCAAGAAGCTTGTTCAGCTTTGATTGGATGGTGGGAAATGGAAGGATTTATACTCCTTGCGGACAGTTCGTCACTTGCATTCTTTTAGACGGTCATTAAGGTCACCTGGAGGTTTATCTGTGTCATCAGGATCACCTGAGCAGTGCAAATTGGTGTGGAAATTGGAATCCACACAATTTGCACCACTCAGGTGACTCTGATGACATTGATAAACCTCCAGGTGATCTTAATGACCCTCTAAAAGAATGCAAGTGACGAACTGTCCGCAAGGAGTATAAATCCTTCCATTCCCCACCATCCAGTCAGAGCTGAAAAAGGTTCTTGGATGAGAAGCAAAATGTCTTCAAAGAAAAACCAGAAAGTCCAATTGCCTCTTGAAAAAAAGCACCTTTGGGACAACCATGACCTGGATGACTGAAAATCTACATAGACATCTAGATTACACTCTCACCAGATGAGAACTCACAATTTTCTTTTTCATTAGATTAACAGGAAAGGACCCCTTTAATTTAATAGCAGGCATCTTTTACCCAGCCATTAGGTTTGTCAACTGTCCAGAATTTTGAGTGCTCATCAGAACTGAAGAACAGGAAATAACAAAAAAAAAAAAATTGCCAAGTCATTTCATCATTTTTGCAGCTGACTGATGCAAGACATTCAAGCTGGTTCAGAATTGCGGGTTGGAGTTGAACAAAGGAATCCATCAATTTTACTTGACAGCTCAAGTGGTACGATGTGTAAATATGAATCAAAATGTGCCCTGCAATCTCAGTTGGAAATACTTGCTTAATATGGCACACCTGGATACATCATCCCCCTGGACCAGATTGTTTTGTCTTAGTGATACGGAATACAGAAAAGATCACCTGGTGTCCTACTTTCTGCCTTTATTCTGCTGCTGTTATACAGAGAAAAGATTGAGGGTAGACTGTCTTTTAGGACTGTCCATGTTAATATTTCACAGAATTATTTGCAATGACTCTGGAAAAGACTTTTTATACAGCTATATAAAATCTTGTTTTTGCTCTATCTCTCCCCGATTTGCTTTTTATCTAATCATCTACTTTAATCTAGTTTAAGAGTCAAATATTAAATGTTTTGAGGTTTCTAATGTTACACGTCAAGCTATATTTTTTCTAGCTGAACTGAATGCTCTGAATAGGCTTAGGGTCTACATAGATGTATGCTGGCTGCAAGCTAATCTGAAAATTACCCATATAATTTTCCAAGAGATGTGACTTGCATTATTTGCAGAGTATTTGTAAAGGGTCATCAGGTTGATGGACTGCAATTCCAGCCTGTCTGGTTGGGGAAGACTATGTTCTCAACACACTGCTCCTAATTCTGGGAAACTCCTTGTAGTGAATGTGCATCTAATTTAACCTGTTAGTGCTGCTGTTTTTACATTGAACCAGCCACTATCTGATTATCAGTTGTCTTCCTTTTTATCATTTTATTTCAAAAGGGCAATGAACCAAGTTGCTAATAAAATGAATTAAACTGACATTCTGTAGGAGCTTTTCTTCCTGGTCTTGAGTCAGCAAGGCACTATTTAGCCAAATGAAATATTCTTCCATTGAACTGCTTTCTCATGCTGCAGGAACTAATATTAGATATAATCTGTTTCCTTATTAGCTTTGCTAGTGATGCTTAATTCAAGGATATGTTGTTTTTCTAACTGCTATTTTCTTATCTTTGCTTTTCAGGGACTTTTGGTGGCAATTCTCTACTGTTTTAACAATACTGAGGTAAGAGGCATAAAAAGTTGCTTTATTCCACAATACTAATTTTTAATTACTTCTATCCATAACACATTTAAAAGAAAATGAAATCATATTTATTTACCAAATGCTGGCTGCTTTGGCTCCAAATCATTTAAAGCCTTTATTTTAAAAAGGACTTTAAAAAAGGGATTTGAATCTTTAAAATGACAAACTAAATTTGGCATCAGGTGAGTTTTACCTTTTTGGATTTAAGAAATTTTAAACAGAGGCTTAAGTCCCTTGAGGAGCTCTGGGTGGTGTCCAAGGTACAATTAGTAAGAAGCAAAAAAGGAAGGGTGTTTTGATTTAAGAACGTTTTAAACGAATTGGGAGGGCTTTATATGTCTAGAAAAGAGAATTTGTTTATCCAGAAAAGAGAATTCCATGATAATTTCCATAATGACTTTTGCCTGAGCTCAAAACCTAAGCAGAATCAGGCCTGGTTAATACTTAGATGGAAGATTGCTATCTAATTACCTACTAGACAATGACAAAACATTTTTGTACTTTTGCCAAGAAAACTCTTTGGAAATGTTCATGTACTCACTAGAATGTAAGTTCAATTTGAAGATATGCTGGCTACAACCCATTCAGTATCAAATGCTATTGAAATTCACACAGAAGCAACCATATTTTATAACTGCTGTTCAATGGAGATCTAACAAGTCTCATTCATAAAAAACTGAGACTGGATTTTGTCCTGGGATCCAGTCTGATGCATATGGTTACAAATTTATTATTATTCATTTATTCTATGCAAGAATCACTTTATAAAAATATAGTTTCTAAAGAAGCAATTCCAAAGAGCAAAGTATATGTAACACATTGTAATTTGTGGCTTTCATTGAGACCTCTATATGGCAGAAGATATACACATCTAACACTTTGAAATATAGGGAATTTTCCATTAATTTATTTATTTGTTCAACTTGTATGCCGCCTTTCTCCGAAGATTCAATTTAAATGCTAGAAGGGCAGAAAACAAAATGAAAAAAGAAATTTGTCATATTGTTACAAATTATAAAATAGATAATGCTGGAACAAGTAGCAGAGCTTCATATCCTCTTTAAAATCATTGTACTCATCACACAAAAAGCATCTATTAAATCATGTAGCTGTACATCATTCAATAGATAGCATTCTTCATTCAATATGGTTCTATTTCTAAAAACAAGTGAATTTCATTGAACATTGAGCACAATAATAGGTCTGCATAACTTAGCGAACAGTGAATTACCACAAATGAAGTAATCATAATTTTGGTATGTTTGAAATCATTTGCTGCCCAATCTACTGTTCATGATAAAGTGAATCTTGAAAAGCTGTGGAACAGATGTTAAAGATAAATTTCCATTCAAGGGAAAACATGAATGGAAATAAACTAAATATCTTTGGGCAGATGGATTCTTGTTGTTTGATCATATTTTGTTGTCATTCAATTGTTTTCTTCAATCGATTCAGCTTTCAATTCCAATTCTTGTTAACAAGTAATTACACTTGAATTACTCAGTTCTTGTTCTGATAAAATACCAGAATCTGTATAAAATTTTTACTTGAATGTTTATCTCTGATGGAAAATTTGACAAGAGAATAGTTGTCACTAGCAAAGTTGTAGTACTTTTAACCAGTATAAACAGTTATTCTATTTTGCCAAATAAATCTCCTTATAACTATAGATGCATGGTTAGAAGGATTTCGAATCTGAAACTCCTTGAATTTTCAATTAATGTGCTACTAAGAATTAAAACCTGATTTTTTAAAGAAATACTGTAATTACACATTAAAACATGTAATAAAGTATTTAATTACAGTTCTACTAAATTCTTTAAACATTTTTTACCATGCACACACTACAATAGTATCAGGACAAATCTATTTCCAATCTGAAAAGCAAAAGGAAGGTCACAGGGAGACATCTTAATCCTATTTCTTACTCATACTCTTCTTTTCAGCTCTTCTTTCACCCAAGCTTTCCTGATTGACATATGCTACTGCTTACAAGGAATAAGTTTAAATATATGGGATGCTCAACCAACCTCACAGTTGCAGGCCTGGTTTGTTTTTGATATCTGATCTACACTTCTAACCTTTGCAGGCATGCAAATCAATATACCATAATGGAAAGAATTGTACTCAGATATTTTCTCTATTTTAGGTTAAACATTGTAACTTTCAGGTTTTGTTTCTGATTTATAGATGTGGAAAAATAATAGTAGTGTATAGATATGCATAGTCCTGTCATTACTTAATAAGCCACTCTATATTATTTCTACAAAAATCAAATGTACCATATTATGTAAAGAGACAAGATGAAACTGAGGTTCCTGTAAAAAGACATGATCCTCGATTCTAGAACCTAGAAATAATAACCTCACAGTGGTATTTTTCAAATTATTATTTACTTTGCCAAATTTCCCTCCCCCTTTCCCCCCCTAAAAGCTGATACGGCTAAAAGCTGATAAAGCTATAACTGTTATAATTAGTTTTCTTTCCCCAATGCCATTGGGGAATTCCCCAATACCTGCCAAGGTATTATCACCTTGGAGTTCATTCACAGATCACTAGATTGTTGACCTGGCAAAATGGCTCAGAACAGATTTTATACAATTAGATTTTAACACTTATACAACAATATGCTTTCTTAAATTGCAGTCATGGATGAAGGCTGGAGAAATTATATTAATCTTCAACCTAGCAGAAATGGAAAAACTATATGTTCAATTAGGAAAGCATGTGATGACGGCAATATAGAAGTACAATGATGCATTTTGTTCCTTAACTGTCATCATAAGGAGCTTTGGGGAGACATTATTTGGCTATTCCATCCAAATAATGTGCCATTTCATAAAGTATTGCCTATCCATAATTAAATAATAGTGGATCTCATGTTCAATATTGTAAGCAATGTGAAATAATTTGTACCAAATTTCCATCATATCCGAATGAATTGAAATAGTCCTTTTCAGTTGTTGATTAAAATCAAATGAACAGTAGAATGAATACTATTTAGATTGAGTTTTTATTTTCACATACCAAACTTGGTATTCAACAACTTCAGTCACCATAAATTTTAACTAGATTCAAAGCAACTTACTTAATGAAATACGAAATGTCACTCAACTGTGTTTTAGTTAAACTACTAATGGTGGCTTGAAAGAAGTTGGATATGGTTGGTAAATGCATGCTCTTCCTCACACCATTCATCTGTTCTGCTTGGGGGAGGGAGAAACTTATGGTAGACCCATGTTTGGCACATACAAGGTTCAATCCTCTGTTGTCCTCTCTGAAGCCAAAACTGCTGTTAGTACAGATTAGGCCTGTCAAAATGACGGCCCGTGGGTCGGATGCGTGACATGCAGGCTCTGCAAAGGCAAAAAACAATGCAATATGTCACAATACATCACGTGACATAATCGAGTTTGACACCCGTGGTATAGATTGTGTTGAGGTAGATGGTTATTTCATCAACAGTAATTACTCTTCTGATATATTGTATTGTAATTTGCATATTTTCTCTCATTGCTCATGCTATCGGGACTTCTCATAGCAAATTGCCCATCCTTAAATTAGAGTACAAAAGTTGCATGTACACAACATACATATGTAACTAGTCACAATTGTATTTGGTAATTGTTTTTATATTTCAGTACTGTGCAAAGTGACTCAGTAAGTCCCTCAGAGGTTCAGCCAGAGCTCATGAAAAAAAAACCCTACATTTTAATCAAGTTTTTAAAACTATTGATATAATGCTCTTTAACGCTATCTATACAAGAAGCTGGACTTGCTGCAATTACATTGGAAACACTGAATGCTAGAAAAGAGTGTTTGAAAAAAAACTATAAGCAAACGTATCAGATTTTATAAAGTCATGCTCTGTCTAAATTTACTAGAACAGCTCATTCTGCAGCAAAGAAGTTCAATAAATCTTCTATATTCTGTATTGCGTATGTGTGTGTGTGTATGCGCACACGCCATTAGTATATATCTGCTGTCATTAGTATAAAACAACCTATTTGAGATGTCTTGGAATACTCAAATTACATTAAAACCTTGCTAAAGATGCTAATTTTACACTCATATCAGATGGCCAAATATCTTCAATTTGTACAAATGCACAAAACATTTACAGGAATTGATAGGTGGTTCTACATTCTTACTGTTTCTTTTCCCTGACAATGAATTGCTGTACCAAACTCTGTTTTCCTACTGTAAAGGTCAAACATCATAATAAAGATATTTTGATTTGATTTGTTTTTATGATCTAAAATATTATATGATTTTTTAGCTCTGTAACAAAACAGCAATACTAGATCATATGTCGTTCTCTTTCCCTTTGTTTCCTTATGGAAGGTTCGGACAGAATTCCAGAAAAGCTGGGAACGATGGAGATTAGAACACTTTTATGTCCAGAGAGACAACAGTATGAAGCCACTTAAGTATCCAGCCAACAGCATTAGCAGTGGAGGTACAGTTGGAACCACAGTCTACGCTGCTACTTGTCAAGCTACTACATTCAACTAAGATGCAGAAGAAATGCCCCCTCTGACCAGAACTGTAGGAGATAAAATTGAACACCCAGCCAGACTCTTAGAGTCTTTAAAAGACTTGACCTTCCGCTGTTCATTGCTGCAGGCAGCTGAATAAGCTTTTAAAATAAAGCAGATGGCTAATATAATCAGTGCATTTGAGGGTAGACGTCACCTCCAACGTAAGTTTAAAGAGTTTTTCCCCAATTAAAACCAGAGGCCTTCAGGTGCCCAAACTCTAACAACCTGTGTTGATGCAGTTACAAAGCATGAGGTTAATAACCTATTAGAACAGGTAGACAATTTGAAGCATTGATTACATTATAAGAATGCAGCTGATTAATGCAGACAAGAAAGATCAGCATTTGAGAAAGGTAAGGCTAACCACTGTCATGGTTAGAAAAAAGCAGTTATAGTCTGCATAATCTTCGTATACATTTCAGAGCCTTACTTATTGATAGCATTATTAAGCGAAAAATAGCCATTTTGAGCCACTCAATCCAGAATAGAAAGTTTCTCTACATAGCAACACTTTTGTAGAGAAATATCTTCTACAGTACTTTGGCTGTAATAAGCTTTTCACAAAAGAGCATGCCCATTATAGTTAAAAAATATGGGCCAGTACTTTTTGTCATTAATGCTAATGAAAACATGTTCTCTGCAGTCCTGAGGCAGTAATGTTTAACTTTTTAAAAAAATATTTGAAATGCAAGTCCAGTAAATGCTTTTTTACAATAAGTAGCTTTGGGAATGTTTACTTTCTTGCTACCTGGAAAGACCTGAACAACTCTTGTTCAAATGTCAGAAGTAATGGGATATGTTGCTTTTTGTTGCACCGTTTCAGACTTGTTAGCTTTTTTTTTTTTTTTTTGTCTGAAGAACTACTTGGCTGTAGTATACCCTAGCCTTTTATGCCTTAGCTCTTGCATAGTCCTTCACTGCTTCAGAAAGCTGCCTAAATGCTAGTATGAACCAAAGTAATTAATAGCTTATTGTCTTGTATTTTTAAGTGGATTATGTTACTGTCCCTGTAAGAATAGACAGAAATGCTATATTTTATTATGCTGAAACCTAGAAGGTATATGTGTGAAAACTGCCTCTTTGTGCTCAGATGTCTTGATCATAAACATTCTGCACAGTATAGTTATATGTGACCATAGCTTTTTTTTCTGTCTTCTGGAAATATGATTTGAGTGAGTTGATTTTGGAGCTATAATTTCAGCACTTTGGTCAGCTCACAATCCAATAGGAGAGATAGCTGGGATTCATGCTGCCGAGAAATCTTCAGAATCTTAGTAATTAAGTGGACTCCTCAGTTGAAATGAATTAAAACTATATAAATTCCATATTCTGCTATTAGTAAATCCATTTCAAGGTGTCAATAATTCCTAAAACATTCATCAGAATAAAAAGATGGGTACTGGTGCTAATTTGAAAAACAGTTCAAACCTGAATTTGTTATGTGCCAATGTTGTTTTAATTTTTTTTTTTAAAGACAGAAAATAGATGCTATTAGATTAAAGCAGAATATGGCAATAGTAATGTTTGTAGCCATTCTGATCCTGGATTTCTTAAAGCTTAATGGATTGTTATTCATGTTTCAACCACTGTAGTGTGTAATAGGGTATGAACAGGTTATTTTTGGTGTGTGTGTGTGTGTGTGTGTGTGTGAGTGTGTATGACTGGTTATTCGGGTTTTCTCCCGCGTAAAATTGGAAGTGTCTTGGCGACGTTTTGACGAAGTCTCATTCGTCTCTCCATGATACACAAAGAAGGAACCCCACTTAGACCCATAGTCAGCTCCATAGGCTCACCTCTACAAAACCTAGCCAAATTTCTCGCCAAACAACTACAGCCCTATGCTGAATCCATCATCTCACATGTAAAAAACTCATTCCAGTTCATAGAGATCATAAAGAAACAAAACTTACAGCCCAGCGACCTACTCGTGAGCTTTGATATCATATCCCTCTTCACCCAAGTGCCAATCAAAGAAGCCTTGACAGCTATCCAAAACAAATATAACCCCCCCAAGCACATCCTAGATCTGACCAATCACTGCCTATCCAACACATACTTCATCTATAACGGACAAAAATACAAACAAATAGAAGGAGCACCCATGGGATCACCCCTCTCATCTGTCATTGCAAACCTCTACATGGAACACTTTGAAACCCAAGCTCTAGAAAAATCTGATCACAAACCCAAACTCTGTCTTAGATACGTAGACAACACCCTCATAATCTGGCCACACGGGAAAGAAAAACTGGACAACTTCCTTACACACCTCAACAGCCTACACCCCAAAATACAGTTCACCATGGAAACAGAAGCTAACAACCAACTTCCCTTCCTGGATGTCTTAGTCTACAAGAAATCCAATGGCTCCCTAAGACACACCATCTACCAGAAGAAAACACACACAAACCGCTATCTGCACACACTCTCACACCACCACCCAGCACAGATCAACTCCGTAGCCAAGACATTCATCTCCAGAACAAAACACTTAGCTGACGAACAACGCCTAAAAACCAAACTATACACTCTCATTAATGTACTAACATCCAACAGATTCCAAAGAAATACGATTACCAACCTAATCCAAAAAGAAACCCCCACTAAAATCCAAGACAGAGAACAAGAAAACGGCAAAGCCCTCCTCCCATACATAAAAGGCACCTCAGACAGAATCAGCAAGATCCTCCACAAACATAACATCAAGACAGCATTCTGCACAAACCGAAAAATATCCACCATCCTAAGAAACCCCAAAGACAAAATTGAGTTAGAAAATCAAGGAGTATATGAAATCCCATGCACTGCCTGCCCCACCACATACATCGGACAAACCAACAGAAGAATAAGTGCATGCATTGAAGAACACAAGAACTCAGTCAGAAAAGAGGAACCAACTTCTTCCCTGGTCCAACACCTTAAAGCCACAAGACATGAAATTGACTTTTAAAAGACCAGAACTATTGCCAAAACTGAACACTTTAACAACAGAATAATCAGAGAAGCCATCGAGATAGAAAAACGCCCACACAGCATGAATAAACGAGATGATACCTCCCGGCTACCAGCCATTGGGAAACCCGCCTTTATTGACAAACGAGTCCCTAACACAAAGAATGACACCAGACCCACACTCACGAAAACCACACAGGATGTCACCACCACACATCCACACAAAAAGCAAACCCAAACCCACACCGATGATGAGGCACGACCACAAACCAGAAGCCAGACCACAGCTGCATCATTAGCCACTTTAAACCCCTCCAATCCATATATGAAGCAAACTGACACCCACCATGAAGATGTGGCACGACCACGAACGCGAAGCCAAACAACAGCAACACAGCTGACCAGCTCAAATCCCCCTGAAACTCAGACTAACCCGAGCACAACCAAGCCCTCACCCAAACAGAACACACCCCCATCCAATCAGAGCACAGCCAAGGCCTCAACCAATCAGAACACACCTCCACCCAATTAGAACACAGCCAAGCTCCCACCCAATCAATTCACACCCCCACTGGCAGTTAAAAGGAAGAAACAACTGCGATCACACATTGCTCCTAGAAGCACGAAGCCGAAAACACCAGCCTGAAGATGACGAATGAGACTTCGTCGAAACATCGCCAAGACACTTCCAATTTTACACGGGAGAAAACCCGAATAACCAAAGACCTACATACAAACACCCACAAAAACCTCAGAAAACACACACACACAAACACACACACACACACACACACACACACACACACACACACACACAGAGAGAGATTATGAGACAAACAAAATATAAAACAATAAAAAGAACAATACTGCAATTTAAAAACAAAAATGCATCTAAAAAACCATCCTAGAACACATAAAGCTCATAAGCACTTTCATTAACTCAGTATAACCATTGCGCTGGCTGCACCTCCCTCCTGTATTCCCATGTCTATTGGAAGAACTATTGCCTTCAATACTTTGTTGTTACTATAGTCCAATTCCACAACTGTAATTTCTAATTGCAAAACGCTTCTCTCTGAATGCTATATACAAGACATTAAAAAACTTTCCCCATGTGACAGCTATGTTAAATCTCTGTTAGAGCCCCTGTCCATGATTTGTGTGACTTACAAATAGATGAAGTCATTGGAACCATTGTGTCCAATATAACCTACTGTACTGACCACAGAAAATCTGCCTTCAAAACCTGAAGTCAGGTGGAATCTAAAGTTCCTTTGGCTTCAAAGTATGAAATGTGGAGCTGTACACTCACTTTTAGGAACAGAAACGGTAGATCCTACCAAACTCTTAGGAAAACCATCACTTCAAACACTGCAACAGTGATTGACTCAAATTTACAATGCAGCCCTATAATTGTCTGTTCAACGATAAGAATTTTTGAGGTTTGTTTCCAAGTAAACAAAAATGGAAGTGTAATTTTCAGTTATAGGTGGATACTTTATGTAACTGATTAGCCACTGACTGTTTATAATTCATGGACCTTAAAAATTGTATTTGCATATTTTTCTCCAATTATACTTTGTATAGTTCATTATACTCATTGTCAGAGATTTATAGGTAGATATAATTGCTATTTAAAACTATTATTTGTGCAATTTTTGGCAGATTTTGAAAGTGAGAGACTGTGGGGTGAAAGACTTGACTCAGTCTTATAAGTCACTATGTTTGTAGAGAAGGGTTACAATGTCACAATGCTTCTAAAGTCAGCCACAAGCTGTGATATGTAATATAGTCTGGGTTTACCACCAAGATAAACTGGTCATATTACATAGAACATTCATCCTATTTCTAGACAAGTAATTTGTCTTGTGACAGTCCTAGATATCTACCAAAATAAGTTTTATGATTAGCTGAAGTTAATTATTATAAAGCAGTTCTCCTCTATGCATTCATTAGTAATCTGCTTAAATATTGCCTTCTCATAAGTAAAATTGTGTTGTTAGTGAATTCAGTTATTTGTTTCCTCCTGTGACTAAAGTCTGTTAAATTGCTATGGGATTTAATGGCTAAAATTGGACTGCAAGGCAATCAAACTGGTCAGTCCTAGAGGAGATCAACCCTGACTGCTTTTTAGAAGGCCAGATCCTGAAGATGAAACTCAAATACTTTGGCCACCTAATGAGGAGGAAGGACTCTGCTGAATGAGGAGACTTAAGACTGGTCATCATAAAGTTACCACAGCATCACCATGTTCAAGTGATCACCATTTGCGACCATTGCTGACTTCTGACAAGCAAAATCAGTGGGGAACCAGCAAGAGGTTGCAAATGATGATCACATGACAAGTGCACCTAATAATTGTATGGGATTGATTTAATGACAGCAACTGGAACTGCCACAATCGCCATAAATCAGTATGGTCACATGACATTATGCTTTACTACTGTGTCACTTAGTGATGGAATTGCTGGTCCAAATTACTGTCATTAAGTAAGAACTACCTGTATGTGCAATTCACAACGCTATGCAATTTATGAAACTCCCATTAATCCATTGTTTTGGAGCATCAAGATAGTTATGTGTCTCAAAGATTTGACTTCTCCTGATCTTCTAAGCATATACCAGAGTTGCCCATGAAGCAAAGTGCCCCTCCAAATATTTTCTTCAATCTGAAGAAATGATCATAGATCAATGAAAAAACATGCATTGAATTGGTGACTAGCAAGTTCTGAATGAAAATGAAACATGATAGAGATTCCAATGGAAAATTGTTTATTCACTCATCTGTTTTTCTCACCATTGCAGTTAAGATCTGATCACCATTTGCAAACCCCAAATTGGGCTCTCCCAATAGATAATGCAAACCGTGTTGGCCTAGGTTAATGTAAGAGGGCTCAAGGAAAACCTGATGGAAACCTATCAGCATCAAAGCAGATTCCAAAGGAAGCCTTGTCTAGGAATTCTGTATCTGCCTAACCATATACACCTAACCTGGAGAGACCTTTTCCAAGTAATTTACATTTAGAACGAAAAATGCTTTTAAAAATGTGTAGCTCTTCTATATGGCTCAAGCATTTTCTTCTCTTGGTGTTCTGTTTTTCATTTGTTGAAGATAATTATGTGCTATTAAAACTTGTTTGTTTGTAACCTTCAGTTGTGTAAAATGGTGCATCATAGGGCAACCATTATTGAACCAAGGTACCTCAAATGGGTAAATTTACAGAATGCAGGGGCTCATTACTGCTGTGGGGATGAAATTCGGATACGTTGTGACCATTTCAGCTGTACTTCATTGCTGCTGCTTCAGTACTGCCACAATCAGCCAGGGTCACATGATCCTCATTTCCAATGCTCCCTGGCGGCTTCCAACAAGTCAATGGAGAAGCCAGCAGGGAAATTTGCATGTTGCTCAGATCTTACCTATCCACGCAATCTCCCCAGCTCCTTTGTGCTTATGCAGTGCCAACACTTGTGTATCCCAAGTGTCCTCCCCAACCCACGACACCTCTTGTGCTCTCTTCCTGACCCATGCCACATTCATATACCCTTGCACATATTCCCAACCCACGCTGCAATTCTGTGCATCCTCCACAGCACCTCTTGTGCATTCTTCCTAATCCTTCTGCACCCATGCGCCCTGACTTACACTGCACCTCCTCATTCCCTTCCCCACTCAGCAGCATTCACTTACCTGCCTGCTGGTCCTGGACTTGCAACTTCCTGCTGGATTCCTCACTGAATTTCTCCCTGCAAGCTTCCCAGAAGCAAAATAAATAGGGAAGCCACAGGAATGTTAAGAAGGAAGGAAGGTTTTCTGACACTTCCTGCCAGTATCCCAGAAACTCAATGGGGAAGCCAACAAGAAGTTGGAAGTCATTCCACTTCTTTTTTGCCTGCTAGTATTATTCTGTTTCTCTGTTTCAGTAAGGAAATATCTTTGAAATGATGACCAAAAGTGATCCACAGGCTGCCTAGTACCCTCTAAATGTGGCTAGTAACTCTTCCAAGAACTTAATTTAGCTGTGGGAGGGGGGGAGGGAGGGGATGGCAAGATTTTCTTTTATTTCTCCTTTGAAGTTGTAGAAATATTGAGAAGTGAGATATATGTTTGCGATTGCAAGCAATCTATTTAAAATATTCCTCACCAGATTAGCGTAGATGGGTATAAGAAAGGGAATATATGCATCAATCTGCATCCAAAATGTCTTTGTTTCAGAATATGTACTGTATTGTATGAGTGCTTGTTTATATGCATTGAACAGCTAAAGGCACCAGCAACCTGTTTACTCACTGTGACTCTATTTCAAGGTATATGGATAGTAAAGTTGCATTTGATAGTTATACATACAAATACTTCAGCTTCTGAGGTATGGAACTAAGTACTTGCTTGTACTGTAAATGGACCTAAAGATATATTCAGGATTAATAAAAATGAGTGAATGCCTTGTTTTTGTTATTATTGCTCTGACTCATGTTTAGAAAGTGTTCAATATTGCATGTACTTTAAAATTTTAAAAAATACTTATAAAATATTCTGAAAAATTAGTCCCATTCACACGTGTTCTGTCTGTCTCTTTTCCTTGGGATGGAGGGGGTACTTTGTACTTGAGATTTCAAACTGTCCATATAACTGTTTTCAGCTAAGCAGTATAAAAATCATTTTTTAAAAAAACGGTAAAGAAATAATGTGTAAAACATCAAGCGTTGAATCCAGCTACTGAGTTAAATAAATGGTTTGAATAAATGTCCAAAAATTTAGGATAGTAGTTTTATGCTATGAGGTTGGCAGGATTAACCTTACATGTTATAGTAAAATGTCAGAAGTCAGGTAATCAGCAATACTATTAGGCTTCTTGCCATACCCTATTTACCTTACTTTTTTACCCATTAGAAGTTAGTATCCATTTCTCATAGATGCTGCTAAAGACAGCTCCCTGTGCTTTTCATGCTGGCCCACTTCTGTAAAATTAAATATAATTTTAGTCTTCTTATTAGCTGACACCTTACTTTGTTATTGCTTTGTTATTAACAAATATAATTCCTCTTCTGTACTTTCAAAAGAAACACATATAATCCAGTGTAAATACTTAGAAGCATTAGTAATTCAACAAGAAAATTAATATTTTAAACCTGCAATTTTAATGCCAGATTATAATTTTGGCCACTGAATATTAAAAGTAGATCATCCATATTTACCTCTGAATTTGGATAATTGTTTCATAGGATTACATTTAAATTTGACTTAATCAGGTCTCAAATCTAATGATTTAAATTACTGCAGCAACTCGTATTCAATATTTAATTCTCTGGCTTTCCATAAGCAACTCCTGATATACAGATTTTTTTTTTGGTTTACAAACATATAGACCACTGCTACACATCTCATTTGCTGCATCAAATGTACCATAATTTCTTCTGAAGATACTATTGCCTATTTGTAGGCTACTTAAGCTTTTAACATTAATATGGTGACATTGTCAATTATACCAATGAAAAGCACCATATCTGCTCTTTTATAAGATTTTTTTTCTGTTTTTTTTTATTGCTGTAATTTAAATAACAAGTAAATTATGTCAGAATATTTTGAGGGGTTTGTTAAAAATAGGATATTTAACTCAAAATGTTCAAATCCGAGAACATTAATGAATTCTAAATCAAACCTGTAAATCCACCCAAAATATAAACTAAGGGTTGTATTATGTCATGCAAACCTTTCCATAGATAATAGCTCTGATTATTCTTCCTCTTAACATTGGATTTATATTTAAAAAGGAGCTTAACAAGCAGAAATAAAATGGAGTTTTTCTAAAGGGCTATTGTTCGTCAAAAGAAAGCTGCTATTTCGGACTGATTTTGTTGATGAACTAAATGTTCTCATCAGAACAGAAAAAAGCAAGTACTGTGCTATCAAATTTAATATACTTGTAAGTGGAAAGTTGCCATGGAAACTCAATACAGTCATAATGGACTTCAGAAAATGATTAATTTCTAGATCCGATTGACTAATTTGTATTAGGAAATCATATTTATGCTACCAAGAGTTTTTGAAGAATTCAAATAAGAAATATGCTCTAATGAGGATGAAAGAATGGCTTCTGTATCAGATTGGAAAGGGAATCAATGCAAAATCATTTGTTAAAGCAATCAAGCACTGAGTAAACTGAGGCAAAATAGATTTTCACTTATCAAGCAAATAAAAGGATAGAAAGTGCAGCTACCGTAATTATTAAGTTCTGTCAAAGTTTTAACCAACAGATATTATTCTGCTTATAAGAAAAAATAGAGAAATTATATAAATGCAATAAAATTATACAAGAAATGGTCAAGGAGCTAGGAAAAAACAATTTGGGTCTGCAGTGCAATTCATAGAACTGCAAATGGAAGAGAGATTGGGAAACAAAGAAATACTTCACACACTACACAATCAAATAATAGAATTTATGACACAAGAAGTGATGAGTGAATGAGTAAACTGAGGTGACTGAACAAATTCGGAACAAATAGTGAAATGGCTACACTGCCACCTCCTGTAGTATTTGATTTGATTGGACTGGACGACTGTCACCCTGCCATTCTGCCCCAGTGAATACTGAAGGTAACCGATAAAATTGAAAACAGAAAACAAAAAAATGTAAAAGTATAAATTAACAGAGAGTACTAAATGGGCAATTAAAAGCCTGGCAAAGTATCATATTTTTCGGAGTATAAGACACACCTACCTTTTTTGGTGAGGAAAAGAAGAAGAAGAAATCTCCCTCTGCCTCTGAGCAATTTTGCCTCGTTGCAGCAAACAGCCTGCTTTACTTTCATTTTCGTTTTCAGCATAGCTTGATTAGCACAAGGAAAAAAAATCTGCTCCAGCAATTTACCTCTTTGCAGCAAGCAGCAGAGTCCTGTGTAAAGCAGCTGAGAGCCGGAAAGCCGATCCAATCAACTTGTGCTAATTAGGCTGTGCTGAAGCTGAAAGGAGCTGTTTTTTCTTGCTGTTTGCTTGCAAGGAGGTAACTGCTATGAGACATAGGCCAAAGGGTGGGGGCCAGTGGGTGGGCGGGGCTACATTCGATGTATAAGACACACCTAAATTTTCACCCTCTTTTAGAGGGGGGGGGAAGGTGTGTCTTATACTCCGAAAAATACAATATATGTTTGTGTTTGATCCCTATTCTCAGGTGTTTAGACAATATGTACACTAAAAGTCTATACAGACTCAAAAAAATGTGAGAAAAGGAGACAAACACAACCTCAAACACTGCATATTCTTGGGGTGGGGTAGGGGAGTTTAGGATGTTATTGGTCAATCTTAACACTTGTTACTAGTAAGCAACTAATAACCAGTGCAGATTTTTTTTTAGTATTGCTACTGTATGATCCTGTACCCCACAGCAGATAGCAGCTTAAAGGCCCCTGATTTTGAACTGAACAGCAAGGTTGCTTATCTGTTTCTCAAGATTTATATTTACAAGTCTACAAAGAAAACTGGTGTTGCATTTTATTACTAAGTATTTATCTAAATTAAGAGTGGTTATAGTAGTTAATAAGGGCCCGAGACTAAAAAACCGGACACCATGAGTTCCTATCCTGCCTTAGGTTAAAAAAACAACAACAGCTGGGTGACTTGGGCCACTCACTTTCTATCAACCTCGAAAGGAGGAAATGGCAAACCACTTCTGAAATCTTGCCAAGAAAACTGCATGGCCTTATCCATATAGTCACCAGGAATCATGCCAGATTCAAAGGCACAAACAAATCCAAATTCTAGGTAGTTCTTGACAATGGTAATTGGGACCGGAAATTATATCACTAAGCAATGCAATCATAAAGAGCATCCACGTTGCTTAGCAACAGCAATCCCTGCACTCCAGGTTGCTGCCATTAACTGAACCCCATGGTCCTTATGTGAGGCAATTTCCTGCCAGCTTCTCAATCAGTGGAGAAGCCAGCAAGAACATGTAAGTCCCAGCCCAGCAAGCAGGTAAAAGTCTGCTGCTAGGTAGTGAAGGGAACAAGGAGGTGAGTAGAGAAGCCAGAAGGGAAGTTTGCAAAATGACAACACAAATTCCCAGAGCACTGAGCAACCAGCTGTGTCCAATCACAATCACATGATTGTGAGGTTGCTGGGATGGACAGAACTTTGAGGACCAGTGATTCATTCAGCAGGGTCAGAACTTTGATCACTGAACAAATAGTCATAGGTACAGGACTATCTGTAAACTGATCCACATTCATTTGATATATTTAAGGCATAGACTGCTTATGTGTGAAAAGGATGCTTATACCACGTACGAAAAGAATGCCTTTAGAATTGGGAATCTCAATAGCCTTAGAGAAAAAAGTTTGGTCATGTATAGCTACTGATTAGAATAACATTAAATGTCAGAACTACACACTTGGTTTTGGTTAAGTTTGCTGAATTTCAAAATTAATCTAGGCTGAATGAAAATTATACACGATATGCAAAGGTCTATATCCTATCAACGAGACAAGTACAAATGAAGAATTTCTATATTGGGCTGCTACCCTATTGTTGTCAAATATAGGCAACATTCAGATTAAATCAGAAACCAGTTTCCTTTGCAAAGATCAATATGTAAAATATTGTTACTTCTTACTTATTTCAAAAGATACTATAATTAGATGGCAAAACACTAATATAAATGTGAAGTAAACCTACTGAAATCATGGGGTTCATAATTTGTGAACTAGTCTGGATTAAACCCTCTTCTTCTAAGTCAAAGAAAGTGTGTTGAATACTCTTAAACTGCTTCGTGAGAAAATGGAGCAGGCAACGTTTTTGCAATTTTTGGGTTCTCCAATACACTAACAGCTATAGTTATCCCATTATTTCCAAGCCTGCTTCTCATTAGAAACATTCAAACAACTATTTGGATAAGTTTTTCTTCATTTTATTTGTCTATCAGGTGTTCAAAAAGCTTAACAATGGATGTCTGACAAAGTTTACATAGCCATCCTTTCTCTTAACACTAGAAACAGAATTCACATCTTCAGTGTTTTTTAAAAATAAAAAAATGTTGCAGAATATCACAAGAAATTGAACAAACAAATTATTCTCTGTAATTCATGAGCAGGTTAAGCATACAATAATGAATTTTAGTCTATTTATCTCTCAATTAAAGGCCGATACTGTAATTCCCTCTCAAACTGTTCTGCTGTGAGAGTTCCTTGGATAGCTTCACAGCCAGGATTAAATACAGAATATGCACTTTTTTCTCCAGGCTGCCTTTCCCTAGGACCACGAGTTCCTACATAGATCCAATAAAACATAGACAGAACAAAATATGGCAAACCAAACTCCAGTTCCACAAACAGTCCAAGTAGGACCAACCAGAGAAGAAACTTGAGAAAGAGTTCATTCTTTAGTACATAATGGATCCACCGTGGCAGAGGAGATGTAATGATTTGGGCCTCATGGTTTTCTGATCTTTGACCGGATTCCTGGGAAATAAAATAAAAATAACTGGATTATACATTTGGATTGTCATGACCTTGCTGAAATGCATAATAAAAACATACCTACAACTTTCTCAGTTTTTGCCCTTGCTTTTAATCCTTTCATTCTTTCTTCAAATAATTGTTTTCCAATAGTTTAATTCAGTTTCTATACAATCAAGACATTTCAATGTATTGTTTTTCTACTGGTCACTCAATTTTATATTCTAAAGTTGTTTTTCTAGATATTTCAAGATGCAAGTCTTCCATATGCCATCATCAGCTACCAGATGGACAAACTACCGACTTCTACTGCCCATCAAGCCATTCAGATCTTTACACAACAATTTTCTCCAAGAATTCCCACAAGTCCTGGCACCGGAAAAGTACTAGCAAAATTTTGTTCCATTGCTAGCTGCTCCCACACAACAAGTGTTGTTTGGCTGGCTACCGTCATTCATGTTTGATAGGTATATTCTGTGCTGTTAGGTCTTTGCAATGAATTCTGTAAAGGGATGGCTTGGATTTTTCTTCTCTTGAAAAAATAATAATAAGCTCTAACTGGGTTTTGGTGTTCTCATAGCATAGTTGTGTGGGTGGATTTTAATTCTACCCTATGCAAAACTGGCTCCACTTTTAACCCCAGGAGTTAGTTGGCTGGGCCAACTGACCCCTTTTTCGTGTTCCCATGATACACTGATCACTCCACTGACGCAATTTTAACATGTTGGAAGAGCAAGGTCAGTGCATGGAATTAAACAAAAGAAGGCCCTCCTTCCAATATTTATTTATTCCATTTAAGTGAGTGCATGCTGCTGGAAAATAGTCACGTTCGTTTTTCTGGAATAGCACTTATTAAAAAAATCCTGAGAACTTTTTAAAATTGCACGGTGGCCATAGTGTTAAACTGAATTATTACTTTCCCCTACAACGCTGAGATTAAAACTTCTTTCTCTTCCATGGCAGAATAAATATTAAATTCAGTCTCGTGTTACAGGAAGTACTGGAGCGAAGCTAGATTACGAAGAAAAGTTATCTTAATTAGTAACATTTCATTAGAAGTAAATATATAGTACTACCATTAATTAGTAACATTCATTATAAGGAAATATATTGTATTACCATTATATTATAATGAAAACAATAAGGCTTAGATCTGATTCTTATGTGCCTGTTCAATAATCATGGATTATTTAAGTGGCTATGAGCTCTTTTGTCAGACAAGTGTTAATCAAGTACAAGGCTAAATTTATATCCCTAGCTATTCAACATCCTTTCAACCACCAATATTTAGTAGTAAACTATCAGTGCCTATAAGCCTTTCACAACTTTTGATTTAAAATTTTACTAACTTGCTTTCCAATAAGTTATCACCTGCTGACTGACAGCATGGTGTGTGATACCATTTTGGATACACATCACAATTTTTTGTATAATACAGTGGCTTGTTTTGGACTCTAATATCTATAAAAGACTAAGATGCTACATAAAATTAGACCATTTAAGATGTTTGGGCAAAAGGCTTCATAGTAGGCATTAGATCAGTTTCCCTTAAAAATCATGAAAGAACTATAGCCTGCAGCTGATAAGAACTACCAGTATTCAGTGCCAGAAATCCCAAGGAACTACAGTATGCAATCTAGATGTTCCCAAAAGTATCAATGCCTCTCTCTTTCTTACCATAATGATATACATTTAATAACTAATATAATGAATGAAATATAGCTGTACCAAAAAGAGTCACACCTGGCCATGCTGCTTGGCCACAGGCAAATTATTAGCAATCAAGGCTATCCACCCTCATAGAGACAGTGTAGATGTAGTCCCAACAAAAATACAAAGGGGAAGAAGAGCATCAAACTCTTCCTTTATCTCTGGATGAAATGCAGAATTAGCAAAAGCCCCTTTTGCAAGAAAAACAAATACATGTGCATATGCAATTTCCAACTACAGCCTTTGCAGGGACAATAATCATTTTTTTTTTTTTACTGGCATTGGAGAAATCCACAGAGCAAGACAATTTCAAAGGTGGCAGTATCTGGCTGATCTCTACTGATGCTGAAAAAATAAGGTTAGACCTGGTTAGTTCTGGAGAGACCACCATGAAATCAAAGACTGGGGCACTGGAAAAAGGGGGCCAGCAAAAAATGTCTATCTGTCCATTATGAACTACCTGTCCATACAGGCACCAGGTACGGAGACTTTTAAGGCAGATCTAAGGTATTGGGGGGGGGGTTTAGACAAGTCAGGGCACTGTATTATTATTGGATTCCCTCCAGGAACAAGGTTCTAGCCTAGCGTTAAAAGTTTTCTTATACGCAACATCGCCCCCTTCAGGGAGGCAAAAAAGATGCAATCGTAGGACTAGCTCTGACGGGATGTGGCACGGAAGCAGCTGCCCAATGCGCCTGGCTCCGTTGTCCATGTCTGCGGGACTGGGGGGGAAAAACCAGCAAAGGGGAACTTGGCAACCACCGTTCTCGGGGCGTAGAAACGCACCGACCTCCGTCGGAGCCTGGGCTGAGGCCCTGTCCCCGGTCTCGGTGGCGGCAGGGTTTCCCGAAACGGGCTCAACGCGAGTCGGGGAGCTAGAAGCGCGGCGATTCGCCCGGAACTCGGCCAGCTTCTGCTCCATCCCGCCGAGGCAAGGAGAACAATTGCCGCTGGCCAAAAGTCGGCAGCGCCCGGTCGGCTTTCGCCGTGGTTCACCGGCGGAAGAGGCGGGCAGAGCCAGGTGGGATGGCCGGCTTGGAGAGGACCGCCCCTGGGCGGCTCAGCGACTCAGCGGAGGGGAGAAAGGGGGACGGGCCGTCCGCCAGCTGCCTCGTCTTTGGCGAGCTGGACGCGGCTGTCCCGCCCGAGGGCGAAAGGCGGAACGCTTGGAGGAGGCGCTGCGTTGCGCTTGGAGGAGCAGCTGGTTGCGCCGCTTGAACAGCAGCTTGGCGATCTTGCGCCCGATCCCAGAGGGATCCCAAGGGAGTAAACTGCTGCTGGCCTTGCTTGCATTACTTTGTGCGCTGTCCCCCGGGGGCGCAAGGACGGCCAGCTTCTCTTCTTTAAGGTTACCCTAGTTCAGTTTTCAAAAAAAGAGGGGCGGTCTGCAGAGGTCCTTTTCTTTTCCTCCCTCCAACTCTCTTGCAAATAATAGTAACAGCAAAACAAAGCTTTAGGGGATATTAGCTTCGAAGGAGCTCCTGTGTAGTAAATGTCAGTGTTGCACAAAAGTTGTGTGCCTATTATAGAGTGAGTTACAGATCCAGGGTAGTGGGGTAGTGGTTAAGGCATCCGACTAGACCTGAGTTCTAGTCTGCCTCAGGCACAAAGCTAGCTGGGTGGACCAGTCACTTTCTCTCAGCCTTAGGAAGGAAGCAGTGACAAATCACTTTAGAAAAACCTTGCCAAAAAAAACAACAACCCTGCAGGGACTAGTCCAGGCGATCACCAGGAATCAACCCTCACTTGAAGGCACACAAAAAGTAAAATAAAGGATGGATTATTGGAATGCAACGTTTTTCCATATTTTAATGTCTTTGGTCTGTATTTAACAGTCCATATAGATCTAGAACAGAGGTCTTCAAACTTGGCAACTTTAAGACTTGTGGACTTCAACTCCCAGAATTCTCCAGCCAGCATAGCTGGCTGGAGAATTCTGGGAGTTGAAGTCCACAAGTCTTAAAGCTGCCAAGTTTGGGGACCCCTGATCTAGAGGCTTATCATTGTTATCCTCAGGCACTGTGCAGAGCACATTGGACAGCAAGTGTTTTCCAGTGGTTCTGATCATTTGTGGCATCTTTGGCATTGTCCCAAGGGACATTAACAATCTTAAGATCTTAAGTGTTTGGCACCAAGTTTTCTAAGGGCGGCCACATTTCCCCTTTCCTTCAGGAAAGAGATTTCCAGGAGGCTAGACTATCCGATTGATAATGAAGTAATATTTCATGCTACGTTCTTAGTCTCTGCCTTGGAAGATACATTGGTTATTCTTATGTATTTCTGTTTTCTTTTCTTTGTAATATTAAAATAATTGGACAGAAGCTTAATTGAATTAATTGGAAAGTACATGAATATGCTTCAGATGTGCAAAATAGGTAGACATTCAAGAGAGATAGAAGATTTTGAGATAAGTAAAAGTATACAATTCTGCATCTACTGGGGCTATGTGTAAAAAACTACCATATATCTTGGAATTGACAAAATGCAACCATATTCACACGGATCAGGGGAAGGTAACATAAAGTAGGCTAGGATAGTTAACCGGAACAAAAGGCCAATGTTAGCATGAACTAAACTAAACTCAAATATAAAATTGTAGAAATAAGGCAAGGCGAACTCTGTCTCATTGTTAGATGTGGTTAATTGTCCAAATGACTGAACGATTTCCAAGGAGTTTTATCAAAATTGGTATCTTGCCATTGGTTGAGAAGTTAGCATTCTATTCTTTCTTTAGAGAAAGACAGAGAAGCTGTCTTTCTCTATAGAAGGTAAAATAATAAAAGCCTTACTGTATCTAGGTCAACCTTCTATGTCACATACTGGTCAATCGGATGAATTTGGGAAGCCCAAAAAATTGAACAGGAGACCTGTAACCCTGACCCTAGCCCTAACCCTTTCAATTGCTTTCATATTTCAATATTTAAGATAGCAAATAGTCCTTAATATTAGTATCCATTAGTAGTATGATCCTCCATGAGCCTCTCTGATCCAGTCCAAGCCTTTTCAAAATGCAAATATTATATCCTATGGGTCGCTCTTGTTCTGTGTGATTGTAATCACCTTCAAAAAAGCCCAGGGGTTTATGGATAGGAAACTTATTTGTAGAAGCAATATTATTTCCTTTGTTATAAGGCATGTTCTATATTTTACTTGTTTCCTCTTTATTAATGTTTTCAACCCATTTTTTCTGAATGTTTGGTTAAGACACATGAATCACATTCTTTTTTAATGATTTCATTTCAGTACTAGGGAGAATGGACGCACCAGAAATTTTTGAAGTTCATGTTTGCATTATTCCCTAGCTTTTTAATCTGTTGGAGCGGTTTGAACAAATCTCTAAATTAGGTTCAGTTGACATTATCCTCTGCTAGCCGATTTCTCAAGAAAGCAATTGATTTACTTTTGTGTACTGCTTTGGTGAGCTTTTAGCCCAGTCAAATACACAACCATTTAAGTGCTGCTGTTTTGAAGCTCTGAGGATAACATATGTTAGCTCTTCCATCCTATTTTGGATATTAGGTGGTTTTGGAATAATATTAATGATGTGAGGACATTTCATTTGTTTTCTTCAGGACAGATCGATCAATTTAATATATTGAGGAACTTTTTCCTCTGTGACATGTATATCACTATATTTTTTTATTTTTATTTTATTTTATTTCGAATTTATATACCGCACCTTCTCCCAAGGGACTCAGGGCGGTGTACAGCCAGCTAAAAACATACAATACAAACATTAAAAACAATTAAAAGGATATATATTAATTTGGCCCCAATTTAAAATGATAAACCAGTTAAAAATGTTTTTAAAAAATGTTATGTTAAGCCAGCCTTGCTTGCTGGAAAAAGAAGGTTTTAAGGGCACGGCGGAAGGCACCGAGGTCTTGAATTCTCCTTATCTCTGGGGGCAGCTGATTCCAGAGGGTAGGTGCCCCACAGAGAAGGCCCTCCCCCTGGGGGTCACCAGCCTACATTGTTTGGCTGATGGCACCCCGAGGAGGCCTTCTCTGTGGGAGCGCATAGGTCAGTGGGAGGTCATCGGTAGCAGCAGACGGTCTCGAAGATAACTAGGTCCTATGCCATGGAGCGCTTTAAAGGTGGTGACCAACACCTTGAAGCACACCTGGAAGACCACTGGGAGCCAGTGCAGCTCACAAGGAGCGGTGTTATGTGGGAGCGCCAGGCAGCTCCCGTAATTACCCGCGCAGCCACATTCTGGACCAGTTAGAGCCTCCTGGTGCTCCTCAAGGGGAGCCCCATGTAGAGTAGTCCAGGCGCGAGGTGACGAGGGCATGAGTGACTGTGCACAGGGAATCCCGATCAAGAAAGGGCCGCAACTGGCGGATCATGCGAACCTGACAAAAGGTCCCCCTGGCTACCACTGTCAGATGTTCCTCTAAAGACAGCTGCATATCCAGGAGGACACCCAGATTGCACGCCCTCTCCGCGGGGGCCAAAGACTCGCCCCCAATAGTCAGTGATGGAGTCAACTGACTATATCGGGATGCCAGGAACCACAGCCACTCAGTCTTGGAAGGGTTGAGCTTGAGCCTGTTCCTCCCCATCCAGATCCGCACAGCCTCCAGGCATTGGGACATCACTTCAAGGGCATCATTTGGGTGGCCTGGGGTGGAGATGTACAGTTGGGTGTCGTCAGCGTACTGATGGTACTTCACCCCAAAGCCACGGATGATCTCACCCAGCGGCTTCACATAAATGTTGAACAGAAGGGGCGAGAGGACCGACCCCTGAGGCACTCCACAAATGAGAGGCCTCGAGGTCGACCTCTGCCCCCCTGCCAACATGAACTGTGACCGGTCTGAGAGAAAGGAAGAGAACCACCATAACACGGTGCCCCCCATCCCCAACTCCTCCAACCGGTGCAGCATGATACCATGATCGATGGTATCAAAAGCTGCTGAGAGATCTAACAGGGCTAGAACAGAGGAGCAACCCCTGTCCTGCGCCCTCCAGAGATCATCTACCAATGCGACCAATGCTGTTTCCGTGCTGTGCCCAGGCCTGAAACCCGACTGGAACGGATCTAGATAAGACTTTTCCTCCAGGAATTGTGGAAACTGTCGCGCGACCACACTCTCAACAACCTTCGCCACGAAGCGAAGGTTGGAGACAGGCCAGTAGTTGGCTAATACTGCCGGGTCCAGGGAAGGCTTCTTGAGGAGAGGCCTCACCACCGCCTCTTCAAGGCAGCGGGGAAGTAACCCTCACTCAGCGAAGCGTTGATAATTCCCTGGAGCCAGCCTCGTGTAACCTCCCGGGAAGCCAGTACTAACCAGGAGAGACACGGGTCCAGTAAACATGTGGCCGCACTAAGTCTCCCCAGAATCCTGTCCACGTCATCAGGAGTCACAGAGTCAAACTCTTCCCAGATAACATTCTCAGGACTGTTCCTTGTCACCCTGCCTGAATCTACCCAGTCAGAGTCCAAATCCCCCCGGATCTGAGCGATTTTGTCATACAGGTATTGTCCAAAATCCTCAGCCCTGCCCTCCAGGGGGTCCTCCCGCGCTCCCGGGTGGAGGAGGGAGCGGGTCACCCTGAACAGGGCGGCCAGACGATTCTCTGATGACGCAATAAGAGCGGAAAAGTAATTAAACTTTGCCACTTTTATCGCCACTAGTAGGTTTTAATGTGCGACCTTACCAGTGTTCGATCAGATTCAGTGAGACTGGCCCTCCAACTGCTCTCCAGGCGTCTTTTCCGGCACTTCATCTCCCTCAGTTCCTCGGTGAACCAAGCAGCCACGAGGGATCGGCACCGGGTCAGAGGCCGCAAAGGCACAACTCGATCCAAAGCCCCACCAGCCGCCCGATCCCAGGCGGCCACCAGGTCCTCGGCCGAGTCATGCGCCAGATCCTCAGGAAGTGGCCCAAGCTCCATCTGGAACCTATCAGGATCCATCAGGCGCCTTGAGGGGACCCATCTTTTGAATTCGTAAATGGTGCTAATAAAACAACTTGGGCCAATCATTCTCTCTCAGTCCAACT